TTTCAGAAAGCCCTCCGATAGTTCTCAGGATGAAGTCCATGCCTTTGCATGACTAATTTTTTAAAGCGCTCATAGTCATGGATTTGGGATGAGGGGAGATGGCCCATCAATTCGGCTAGGGTCTCCACAAATTAGGGAGCGCAAAATTGGCATGTACATTTTCAGGGACACCCCCATATCTCGGCAGGTTACTTCAAAAAGAGTCAGATAACTCAGAACATCAGTGGGGGGCTGATATTTCGGAAATGCCCCCCAGTTAAGGTTGCTCAAAGTTAGCCCCGGAGGAGACTGTCTGCCCCATTTTCTCCTGGTGGCTCCTCGTGATTGTAGTCATACCTTGGAACAGGATGTCGAGACGCTCATCCCTCCCGGACGCAGGTGTTCCGCCGCTGCGTATACACGCGAGGGTCCAGGGAGAAATTCCTCCTCCTTCTCCGCCGCGTACCATTGCACCGCTCCACCAGTTTCCCAAGCTCTTTACTGGCGAGTAGACCCGTCCTGGGGTGGGGGAACGCCGTCTCACCGTCTGCGAATGTCGCACGATGGACACTCTCGACGGTAGTCTCCCACAGACACTTCTTGCAGCTGCTGCGGCAGATCTTGATACTCATAAGCCATCCGGCTGACTCTCTGCCCCATAAGAATGGTTTTGCACCACTCAACCGCATCGCCCTCTGAAAAACTCCATCTCTTTAGGCTCTGCATAAACAAGATAGTTCCCTCTAGACGTGTGGAGGCCATCCCAGCTTCCACTTCCTCACAAGGTGACAAGGGGTGGTTAACTGGCGCGCCCCCCTCTCTCTCCAAGTTGCAGGGACTCTTGCCCACCCTTCCAAACAGTTCTTAATTCGCTGCATCCACCAGCTCTCTCTCCGACTCGGGATCTCCCGAAAACCAGGAGGCGGATTCCACTCTGGGACTTTGGAGGTTGGGGGGGGGGTTGTCTCTGAAGGAAGGGAACTGCCTTCTCCACCCGGACCCCATTCGTCCACAGTTCGCAAAGGTGTATTCCTGGGGAGCCCCGGCTTCCATAATTCCTGACTATCTCTATCCCCCCCAAAAATAAAACGCCTTAGTACACAAAAGATTCGTGCCAATTTAAAATCAAAGTGCCTTTCTGCAGGGAAGTTCCATCCCACCGCTGCCAGCATGTAGTAAAGGGGCTCCTTTACTAATAATAATAATAATAAAATTTATTTATACCCCGCCCTCCCCAGCCAAGACTGGGCTCAGGGTGGCTAACAACCAATAATAAAAAAACGTTGATTAAAATACAATTTAAAAGATTAAGATACAACATTAAAACATTAGGATGCAGCCTCTTCACAGGAGGGAAAAGGAAATAGAAAGAGGGGGAGGAATCAAACTGATTCTAAACCAAAGGTCAGGTGGAACAACTCTGTCTTACAGACCCTGCGGAAAGAAATCAGATCCTGCAGGGCCCTGGTCTCATGAGACAGAGCGTTCCAACCAGGCCGGAGCCAGTGTTGAGAAGGCCCTGGCTCTGGTTGAGGCTAATCTAACTTCCTTAGGGCCCTGGGACCTCTAGGGTGTTGCTATATATGGACCTTGAGGCTCTCCGTGGGGCATACCAGGAGAGGCGGTCCCATAGGTACGAGGGTCCTAGGCTGTTGAAGGGCTTTAAAGGTCAAAATTAGCACCTTAAATCTGACCCTGTACTCCACCGGGAGCAGTGCAGCTGGAAAGCACTGGGTGAATATGCTCCATGGCAGAGACCCCGTGAGGAGCCTCGCTGCAGCATTCTGCACCCGCTGGAGTTTTCTGGGACAGATTCAAGGGCAGCCCCACGTAGAGCGAATTACAGTAGTCAAGCCTGGAGGTGACCATTGCATGGATCACTGTGGCCAGGTTGGGGCGGGAAAGGTAAGGGACCAAACTGCTTGATGAGGCGAAGGTGGAAAAATGTCACCTTGGCTATTGTAACCTGCGTCTCCATGGAAAGGGAGTGTCAAGGATTACACCCAAACTCTTAACCGAAGGCTTCAATGAATAGAAGGATGAATAAGGTCTCTAAGGAAATGGAGGCCAGAGATTTTCATTTGTTTCCCAACCTACCTCGTCTGTGCTTTCCTGATGAACACAAAAACATGGAATGGGTCTTGATCCATTCTTCACATTCTGATGTTCCTGTTTCTCTTTTCTCTTTCTCATGGACAGGGAATTGATTTTGATGAAAGATCAAATATCGGAAATCGGCCTGGAAGATGGGGAGGATCTTCCTCCAAGGTAATCCTGTGCTAATCCCCTCCCCCATAATCAATTGCTTTTAAAAAAAAACCCTGGTCCATTTCTATGGTGGTGGTGCTTGGGGTCCTTTGAAGGATGGGAGGCCAATAAACCCTTTTGACAAAAGTGCTACTCCTGTCTCCCCTCAGCATCCCAACCACAGCTTCCCTGGATGCGGCTGATCTTCCTCCTGAAAGCGGCAGCAGGGACCAGCTGAACAACAGACTTACGGATTTCGTCGCAACAATAAAGAATGGGATGATCCGAAGGAAGGCGCTCCGAGATCTTTGCGCCTTCCTGCAGAAGATCCAGGAACATGTGAGTTGCGTGGCGAGTTCCCGCCTCCCCCACTGAAATAAAGACACAGGACACCAGTATTTTAGGTTAATGGGCAAATTAGGCCACAACTTTATTGATTACAGGAATTGAGTGGTATTGGCTTAGGCATTGGTCCTATCGACTAACCGGCTTCAGCCTGATTGCTAGAAGACCGGCAAGGGTTAACCACCCAGTAGGGGGAGTCCTGCTGATGTACATCAACTAGGAGCTCCCCCGGAGTCACCGCTTCGGGGGCATGCCTTAGGCCCACACCTCCATAGGCTTCGGACAGGGCAACGCCCCACGGAATCCTTTACCGGACTACCCTTCGATATGGGGGAAGGTGATGGCGCTTCTTCCCCCCCACTCATCTGCATAACAATACCCTTACCAATGCCTAACCGCCAATGCCGAGGAAGTTGTGACGATTTACTACGAGGTAGGCAAAAAGCCAAAAGGCTGGTGCCAATTTGCCAAGTGGAAAAAATTCCTACCAGGCCCCTTGTCGGCGACCAACCGAAGTCCATAGCAATGTCAAAGAGCCAAACCTAAAGGGTGGGAGGGTGGGAAAACCGGAGCAGCTGGGGCGCTGGGGGATTGTCTGGCAAGGGAGATGACACGCCCGAGGATTCCCTGCTCTCGGCGGGGGCTGCAAGCCAGCCCGAGTACGTGGGGGGAGGGCATGAAGCCCACAACCCCACCTCCTCTCCAGCTCAGAAGTGGCTTTACTGAAGGGAAGCATTGCAACCATGCAGGGCTGTCAAGGCCTTCAGGCTGCTGCTTCTAGGCCCATCCTGCAAGGTGGCCCAAGGGACGATCAGGCATCCCAGCAACATACTCAATTTGGAGAACAGAGGCTGGGCCATAGTGAGTAAAGTGGCTGAGAAAAGAAGAAAAAAAGCAAACATTAGGAAAAGAGGGTTTAGGTTTAGGATGCTAAATGTTTTGGAATGTTGGAATAAAAATGTTATAGGAAAAATGGTGATCAGTCCCTTCTCTGGGTTTCTTCTCAGCCATCGGCAGTGATTCATGCATGCTCCTATGGCCAACTGGTGGCGATTTCCTGCCTTTGTGCATTGGATTCCGGACCCGGAGAGCAGGCAGTGGGCAGCAGAGGCTCTCTGCCATCTTTCTGCCCATCCTGCGGCACAACGAAGGTAAGACTGGAAGAATGCATCCCAGCATGGGGTGGGGTGAGCAAGACCCAAACTAACCCTTTGGCTTTCCTTTCAGAGACACTGGCAGGAACGTTAAGGAACCAAATGCTCATCATCGGAGCTGAGCAGGTCCTCGAATCCACCGGAGGACCGGTTCCTGGGCTGTTCGTGAATAACTGTTACTCTCTTGTCAGGGTAAGTCGCTGTCTTCTCAAGCCACATGTTCTGGGTTCCGCAGAGGCAGCACCTGGGCTTTCTGCTCCCCAGCCCTGCCCTGTGGGCATCTCTGACCTTCCTCTTCTCGCTTCAGGTCTTTGGGCGCCTTTCTCCCTGCGGCGCAGCTCTTGGAGGCCATGTGCTTCCTGGCCAGAGACCTGGTTCTTGAGAGCAGCTTCGACCCCCTTGGACATCTCCCACCTGCTGCAAGATTTCATCAAGCAGTTTGGCGGCACAAAAGTGAAGGTAAGGCGTCTTCAAAGGTAGGAGAGAAGAAGATTCTCCGCTTTGGTGTAGGGGAGGCAACCAATACTCCCCAGGACCCTGAGTGGTACCTTGGAAGGAAGAGGCTGTGGTGGCACAGGTCAAGGGTCCCTCTTTCAATGAGGGATGGAGACAGCCCCGCTTCCTTGTACTCTCCAAGCAACCCTCTCCTTTTCTCTGACAGGTGGAGGTGCTGCTGGAGGCCTTCTATAAGATCGCCCAGGGGCCTACAGTGCAAGGCAGGAACATGGCCGTCTTCGCGTTCTCCATCTTGGCGCACCACCACCTGGACCAAGTGGTGCAATATCTCCTCCAGTTTCCCTTCGGGTATGGAGCCCTCCAGGTTCTACTGGGCTAAGGGGGAGGTTGGCAAGCTGCAGGGCTTGCTCAGAAAGCCCTTGCTGCCATTTCCTCTCTCTGGAGCATGGCAGCAAGCAGAAGACTTGAATCTGACCATTGCTCTTGTTTTTGCATTCACAGAGACTGCGAGAGAGTATGGAAGGAGGTTTTACCATCGGCCGATCCAGAACAACTGCTCAATCTCATTGGCCGAGCAGATTTACCAAAGCCCCTTGGCGGAATCTGCCACCCAAGTGGTAAGGACCAACCACCTGCTTTCTTTCCTTCTTCCAGGGTAATATCGTAATATCGAGGGTTCCTGTATTCTGCAGAAAAGCAGAGAAAGTGACTTGCACCCCTCTCTCTTCCAGCAACATCTCACCAGCCTGTGGCACGCCATCCTCAGGATGGAGGACTACAAGGCAGCTGTGCGCCAGAACTTCCCACAGCTGCTGATCGCTCTCCTGGGGATGGTTGTCAACTTCCACTACTATCAGGAATTCCTTGGGTGAGTAGTGTGTTGCAAAGGGACCAATGGAGTCCTTTCCCCTTCAGCCTCGGGGGTTTCCAGTCCAGCTTGGTTTTCCAAGGGAGGCTCTCCTTCAGGCGGCTGCTGGGGAAGGAATGTGAGTGTGTGCCAATGACCCTCCTGGTAAAACTGGCCTTGCTTTGGTTCCAGAGGGGCTAAGGAAGTTCTGCACCTCCTTCTTGGCACCACTGGAGAGCAAGTGGAGGCGGCCATCGTTGACCAACTTTTCTGCCGGGAGACTTTCAGCCAGGGGTTGTCTGCCATGGTGAGGTAAGAGGAAGAACGCGGTGACCTTCCCCAGTGGTCTGGCAAACGGAGCTGAAGGCACGGGATCGGACTGTGCCCGTTTGCTTCCTGCGGTGTCTTTCCCTTCCTTACCAAGATCTCCTTCTCCATTTCAGAGCCGTCGGAAAACAACGCTGGTGATCTCTCCCATGGTGGAAAGCATCATCGCTGCTCTCGAGGACCAGGAATTTCCTGGGATGCCACAAGTCGCGGCAGCTATCTACATTGAGGTGAGGGGGACTGACGCGGGCGGAAATGGGTGCAGCAAGGAGGCCCTGGCTTGGTTTCTGCCGAGTGTTGGGCTACTTTGAGCCTAAGGACTGTTGCCTGTTTTAGTGCTCCTCAGAGTAGACCCATTGGATTTGATGTACATGGCAAACTTTGGTCCATTCACTTCAGTGGGTTTGCTCTGTGCAGAATTGCAAATGGTGGGTAAAAGGAGAACCTGCCTCAGCCTCTTATCCCTGAAGGGTTTCTTTCTCTTTGGGCCTCTTTAGCTGCTCAGCTGCCGTCTGGGGTCTATCCCTGTGAAGATACACTGGAGCAGCTCCTCAACTGGCTGGAACACGACTGCCTGGAAGTCCGGAAGCTCAGTGTCAGAGGGATATCCCTGCTTCTGGACTCTGACATGGCAAGTGATGCTCAGAGGAGGGGGGGGTACAGATCTTGATTCTAATCATGGCCCAGCACTCTTTTGCTGGCACAATACTGAAGGGCCTGTGCTAAAAGGCGTGAGGCCTTTCAGACCTTTGAAAAGATTCTCTCTTTTGTGTAGGACCCTTCCTTCCTGAGGGATTCCCTCTCTGATGTAGAAGCTGATGTCCTCCCAGAATTGATAGAGCTGGTAGACCAAGCCTACCATTCCAGGGAGCTGGGAGAGAAAGACCTGGAGATGCTGGCGGCAACCTACTGCGGCCTGGCTGCCCATGTGAGTATGAGGGGAAACATGACACCACACCCAATGGAGGAGGAATGCTTTGGAAGAGGAAGGGTGGGGTTTAGACTGGCATGCAGCGGAGATGTTCTGGCTTCAGGAGGGTGTTCCTGATCTGATGAGAAACACAACCTCTGATATTTTCTGCCTATAGGAGGAAGCCTCCGTCCGGGAATCAGCCATCGAACATCTGGGGCTGCTTCGGGGCTGGGCGAGAGACCAAAGACTTCCCATTACAACAACAGAAGAGGAAGCCATTCACGAACTGGTTGTGGTCCTCATTCACCTCGAAGACGAGGACCTTGAAGTGGCCAAGGTGAGGGCCAAAGAGGTGGACTTATGCAGTAGGAGGGAGGGATTGTTCTCAGGAGCTTCCGAGACTATGTACCGCAATTTGTAACCCTCTTCTCTTCTTGTGTTGCAGGCCGCAAGGAGGGCTCTTTCCCATCTAGCCCCAGAAGTCAAGTGGTGGGCTCGTTCCAACAAATTTAGCCTCCACTTTGCTCTCCACCAGGCTGCCAAGCATATGGTAAGGTCCCTCTGCCTTTGTTGGCAGCTTTGCCCAGGCATGTCTTTGGGAGTGCAAGGCTCTTCTGCTGCGCTCTCAAGCCTCTCTGATGCCACTTCTCCTTTGTCTTTGCCCACAGAGCAAGACCTTCAGCAAGGGCATCCTTCGGAGTGCTGCCTTATCATGTACGCAGCCGTCTGCCAACAGCTGCCAGCAGTCTCCAGGGTGGCAGCTCTGCTTCTGGGTAAGTCAAGCAACGTTCTTCCCTGGTAGGGATGGACAGAAACGTCTTGGTAGGCCTCCATCTGTGCCCAGATCTTGCTCTGAGTGCTCCGTGAGGGTGGAGGCCTCTAGAGCATACCTGTCCTCCTGCCGAGCTGCCTCTGTCTCCGCTTGCTTTGCACCCAGATGACGTCCCTTTTCTTGCCTCTTTCTCTCTCTAGGTCATCTGGCTTTCCGGGATGCCAGTTTCATCCACAATCAAGACATGGCATCCTATGGAACATGTGAGTGAGACGTACGGAGGGCAGGGAGGGATGCTTCTGCTGAGAAAGGTCTTCAGGGGAAGGCAAATTCTCAGATGTATGTTCAGGCAGAGGTGCCACAAGATGAACATGCAAAGAGAATTGGAATGTGACTTCACTGCTCTCTCTTACACACAAACACAGCTGACGGCTGTTTTCATATTGTTGATGGGTGGCTCTTTTCCTGTGCATCTCTGCCTTGCTCAACCTTTCTCCCTTGCCACTCAGGGCTGGAAGAGATGCAGCAGCACGAGGAAGAAGAGCTTAGGCAGACAGGGAGGAGCTGCCTGAACATCGTGCAGCGGGCCTATAGACATCGGAAGAAAGGCAGGGTCCAGCGCTTTTTGAGGAGGATGCTCCACTGCGTTCACAGGGAACCTTACCCGAAGGACTTCCTGAGCTGCATGCCAGGTGAGTGAGGCATCTGGTGGGCTATTGGGACATCTGGTGGGCTGTTTGGATGGGACGTTTCTCAACGAGCCCCTTTCTCCGCCTGACAGAACATCCGGAGTAGCGCCAAGGCAACGTGGACACCAGAGTTGTGCTGCAGAGATACCATCTTCTGCTCTCCGCAGGATCCAGTCTGGACCAGCGCCAGGAACATCAACACCATCAGGATCGACCAAGAGGAGTGGTGCTGCCCTCACGACCCTCCGTACAGCGGTAGGAAACCTTTTTGTTGTTGTGTTTCTTGTTGATGTTGTTTTTGATTGTTGATTTTATTGATTTTGAATCTCAGGGTGGTTCACAACACCAAGTATATGAAGCACAAAATAAATAATAAGAATAATCACTGCACAAAATTCATAATAAAAATATCAGAACATAATATAAATTAAAATAATAAAAACATACTAAAAATAGCCACAAGACCAATGTATGCACACTAATAAACAATACAAGAGCCCTGAAACAACACTCCAGCCCACAAATACAAAATCTAAATCAACGTAACACATTTAACAACCATTTAAAACAACCCCACCTTCTTGAAGAAGGCTGATATATTAGATTTAGAAGGTTGGAATACGAGGTTTGGATGGCACGCCTACCTAACATACAACAAAGTGGCAGTGCATAAGGACTTTTAAAATCATATACAGTGGTACCTCGCAAGACGAATGCCTCGCAAGACAAAAAACTCGCTAGGCGAAAGGTTTTTCCGTTTTCGAGTTGCCTCGCAAGACGATTTTCCCTATGGGCTTGCTTCGCAAGACGAAAACGTCTCGCGACTTTGTTACCTTTGTCTAAAAACCGTTAAAACAAAGGGTGCTTAGCTTGAACAGCTGCAGTTGCGACTTGACTTCGAGGAGCAACTGTTAGCACGTGGTTTGGTAGCCTTTTCTCAGACTTTGCTCACTTTTGAAGCTTTTCCAAACTTACCATTTGGTAAGTTAAACTTTTAAAACTTTTTTGGGGGGTTTTGGATTTTGGGTTGGGGTGTTTGGGATTCAAGGACTTGGTGTTGTGGGGGTTTGCGATAATCTGGGAGCTTGTGGGGCTTTTTTTGGAATTTTTTATGATTTTCTGTGACCATTGGGCCAGGTTGGTTTTTTTTGAAAATTTTTCTGAGTTTGAATTTCTGAGTGCTGGCTGGCTGGGGGAACAGTTGGAGAGGTTTCTGCAGGAATCTGGGAGCTTGTGGGCTTTTTGGGAATTTGTATGATTTTCTGTGACCATTGGGCCATGTTGTTTTTTTTTCAAAAAAAAAATTCTGAGTTTGAATTTCTGAGTGCTGGCTGGCTGGGGGAACAGTTGGGGAGGTTTCTGCAGGAATCTGGGAGCTTGTGGGGCTTTTTTTGGAATTTTTATGATTTTCTGTGACCATTGGGCCATGTTGTTTTTTTTTCAAATTTTTTTTCTGAGTTGAATTTCTGAGTGCTGGCTGGCTGGGGGAACGGTTGGGGAGGTTTCTGCAGGAATCTGGGACCATTGGGCCATGTTGTTATTTTTTGAAATTTTTTTTGTCTGGGTGGCGGGGAACAGTTGGGGAGGGGTTTGCAGCAGTTGG